GCCTATGCCTATGCCTATGCCTATGCCTATGCCTATGCCTATGCCTATGCCTATGCCCATGCCCATGCCCATGCCCATGCCCATGCCTATGCCTATGCCTATGCCTATGCTTGCTTGCTCGCTTGCTTGCGCGCTTGCTTGCACGCTCGCTTGCACGCTCGCTTGCTTGCTGAGTTGCGGATTCCAGGCATGCTCGAGTTCTCTGATTCCTTGAGTTGAACCGTCTAATAGAATCTATGCCCCCCACCTTTCCAATGGCAGTGCCTTGCTTGCTCTTGCGCGCTTGCTCTCACTTACTTGCTCTTGAATGCCCTTGCTTGTTTGCGCTTGATCGCTGGCTCTTGATTGCTTGTTGTTGCTCGTTTGCGTTTGCTAGCTTCCGCTTGCTTGCTTGCCCTTGCTTGATGTTGCTCCTCCCGTTCTCCTCCCGTCCTGCTCCCGTCCTCCTTTCCGTCCTCCTCCCATCTTCCTCTCGTCCTCCTCCTGTCCCACTATCTATTTGCAGTCAACGCTTGCTGCTAATTTTTAAGAAACGCATGGTTTGGGCAACCTCGTAAGGGCTGGGCATGGTCCACACTACGGTTTACGCTAAATGCCAGCCATGGTCCACACGTGACTGTAAGATGTCGCATCAAGATGGCATGGCGGGAGAACAAATCGCTTGGTAATTCGTATTGGTATCATGCATGGCCATTACGGAGCGAATGCCAATGCGCATCATGTTGGCATAGTTACATCAAGCCACTGGGACACATAGAAGCATCATCACCATCCCATTACATGATGACGGTACGGGGTATATGGCATATGATGTATCGGCATGCGTGTTTATGTATCGCATTTGAACATCCTCCTCTCCCGTTTGCCACTATATGAATATATGAAACCTACTTGTCACCATCCTGATTGACATTGTCACCACTCGTCCGCTCTCCTCCCTCAGTGCCCCTCGAATTATTCCTACTCTCGCGCCCCGTCCTCCCCGCACTCGTCCCGGACGATTCGATTCAGAACGCGCCCATTCAGATGCCTTCACGATTGGAAGAGCATGTGACGCGTGACGCCCTTGCATAGACATCAATCGCAATGACAGCGCAGTCCAAGAACAACTCGGGGCTACAAGCGCGCTGGAGTCGACGCCGCCCACGAACCTCCAAGACTCCAGGCCAAGGCTGGGCTGGGGCTTAGCCGCCAGTCAAACGACGAAAGAAGAATGCCGAGAGGCACGTGGATATAACGAACCGCGAGGGGCGGCAAAGCCTTGCCCAGAGAGTTGGAACCCTGTACTACGAGACACGCCAAGCACCACGCCACACCACGCGTCACCCACACGCCAACATAACAACACCCAAACAGCATCCACATTGAAACACCGAATCACATCCACTGCACAACCAAATCACACCTGAATCGCAGCAGACACACACACACAACACACACACAACAACAACAACAACAACAACAACAACAACAACAACAACAACAACAACAACAGCAATAGCAACAGCAACAGCAACAGCAACAACAGCAACAGCAACAGCAACAACAACAACAACAACAAAAACATTGACCACACCAGAGCGACGTCGGCCACATGCGCGCTGTTTTGAACGCGAAACTAAATTGCATTCGCGCAACAATTTCTCGCTTCAAACTCAATAGGATTCAGCGCTGCGCCAACGATTCGACCCTTAGTTGTTGAAGTTCTATCGGTGTCCAGCGTCGAAGTCGCTGGCATGTTTCGATCTGGATTTGATATGTTTCCGGGGTCAAAGGAACTAAATGGCCCGAGAACAGGATTGGGGCTGATGAACGAAGCATGGAACGCCTAAAATACACGCCCTCTCCTCAGCGCACCTGCAACAGCTTCTTCACGCCCGCCATCTCGCCGCCCTTGCGCGGCTTCCTATCCAAAGGCCGACAGATCACTAAGTGCCCTTGCTTTCGCACAAGCACGATGGCAACGCAACTTGGCATCCAACTCGCGCGGCGCCCTGTTTCAAGGCCCGCGACGACTGCGCACGCCGCTCGCCCTTGCGCGGCGCACGCTGTCATTGCCAACGAAGGTGCAACCATGAATTGAAAGCGCTTGACACTTCACGTCAGATGCCTCCTACACCCGCCGAAGAACCACCGGCGACCCTTCGATGGAAGGATTGGGCACCGCCCTGGCCCCCAGCCCCGGAGATGCCAGTCCTGCATCTGGAAGTCTAGCACTTCGACTCTCGGCAAACGCAACAACACCTTCTCATCTTCCATCTCCCACGACCTCGTCCTCGCGCAAAACCCACCCATGAATCGATGCTGCGCGTCCCCACAGAAGCTGTTTCTTCGACCTATCCAAACGGCCCCAAAGCGCGACGGGCACGCACTTCGCCAGCGATAGCCGCCCAGGCATGCACGCGCAATCCTTGTCGCGGTAGCCTAGCCACCGTATGTTGTCCTCTAACATGCACGGTCGCTTCTCCTTCCCTCCATGTCACGGGCGACCTCTTGCTACAATCCAGAGCGACTGCTCTCCTCGCTCCTTCGCCAAGTGCGCGGCTCTCTGCTTCCCGACGCGGCGCCGAGTGTCCTAGGCGGCATAGACAGCGACGGCTTCGACAAGTTCCCCCCCAGAATCGCACGCCTCCAGTGACGTCGCAATGAGTTTCCTATTCTCTCGCCCAGCGTTGCACACATCGCGCTCCAGCACGTCACTTTTGGAAATCGCCTCTGCGTTTTCTCGACAACACGCGTCTTTACGCTGCGCTGCGCCGTTTATCCACGACCCAGGCACATTCGTTGGCCCGCCGCGCAATAAATTGCGCGCACGTTCAATCAGCTCTGCTCGCCGAAACTCGTCCGGCACCCACGGGAACCAATCGTCCTGGTCCGCCACGCACTTGCACTCCGTCAACTCCGTCATCCCCTGCACTAGCTCTTCGCCTCCGACCCCCAAGCAGATGTGCTACCCGCGGTCATCCGTGGCCGCCAGCGCGCGCTTCCTTGCATTCTCCAGGTGCGACCTGGGCAGCGCGTCGATTGCTGTTCCGGACGGCATCTCCAGTTGATAGACGTCTCCGCAGAAGAACGCGATCACGCCCCCGAGCGGCATGTCCAGGCCGTCCTCCCCGACCTCCGCGTCGTTTGCTGCTCACATGCACAAACGCAAATGCGAATCGAGCTCTGCCAGGCAGTTCGCGTTCACCTTGCTGACCTAGACTACAACCAGCCGCTAGTAGTATTCTACTCTGTGCTCTGTGCTTCCATCGCCCCCACCGCTCTGATCCTTCGACTCGTTCACGCCCATGCCAAAGGCACTGTGGATCGCATTCCCGTGGAGAGCTGACGCGCTCGCGCCTACAAGGCTGTTACTTGGAAGTCGACGCCATGCGTCCTCCACATCTCCTGCTCGAACAGTTCCTTCCGGATCCTGCCCTGACGAAGCTTTCCCGAGTCCCCGGACCGCCGTGCAACACCCACACGAGGGGGCCCATGTCGGCACGGAAGCCCAACGGGACTCCAAGACCCACCGAGAAATCCCAATGCACCCTCAAGGAGCCGCCGAGCTCCCCGCAGAGAACACCCGACGACCGAGGAAGACCGCCGAAGACAAGGACTGCAAAAACGGAGCCGGCGGATGTGGCGCAATTTTGTAGAATCCACGTCTGGAAGGAACGTGTTGCTGGAGGCAAGTCTGCGGAGGCGATAGTGCAACGTATCCAATGTATCCAAGTACTACACACTTGCAGCGCATCCCAGGTAAATTATGATGTACCCCCCCTAGCCCTCCCCAGGAGCCACGCCACTTCCGCCGACCAGGATGCCCCCTTGCCCTTTCGGGCCTCAAAATTTACAAAGGCCGATGGAAAATCAATGAATCGGGCCTCTTGGGCCTCTTGGGATGGGGGTCTAAGAGGGCGTCAAGACGGCTCAAGATGACCTCAATGCGGACCAAGACGCACTCTGGTCCGGACGCTGAAACAGAGGGTGGGGGGGAGGGGTGGCATCTACCCCCCGTGGCACTGGCAGCGCCCTGGGGCGGGCAGAACGACACGGCAAAACTTCGCAGCAGACGAGCAAAACAAAACACCCAACGCCCAGTCTTTCCGTGCTCCGGACGGTGCACCCCGCGAAGCGAGAGGATTCAACCTTCCTCCGAGCCAGATTGTGGCCAGAAATCTGTCCCTACAGCTGCGAGCCACTGTCCCACCAATTCTCCGAGCCACGTCCAGCCGTGGCAAACGAGCCTGGAGAAGGCGCGCGCAACACAAGCAGGAAGGAGGGAGGGCAGGAGAAGGAGGGCAGAGACCGAGGAGGACGGAGGACAGAGAAGGACGAGGACGAGGAGAAGTGGGGGAGAAGAGGAGGAGTAATGATGAGTGAAACGGAGGAGGAGGAGGAGGAGGAGGAGGAGGAGGAGGAGGAGGAGGAGGAGGAGGAGGAGGAGGTAACGAGGACGTAACGAGGACTGGGCAGAAGGGTGCAATGAGTAGAAAGAGGGGGGAGGGGCCTGAGGAGGAGGAGGGTGGAGGAGGAGGAGGAGGAGGAGGAGGAGGCAGAGGAAGAGAAGGAGGAGTGAGCAGGAGTGGAGGAGGAGACAGCTGTGCGAAGGGCTCCCCGAGCGAGCCCCTCTCTGACGTTCGCCGCGCCGTCCAGCTCGCAGCGCAAACCATGCCTAGATAAATAAGCAAAAAAACGTAAGCAAGACGCTACTACCACCCGCTAGCTGCCCGCGCGGCACCTCGCATGCGCGACCCCGCCAGACCTACGCCCCAGCTGCGCGGCCCAGCGGGATGCGCTCTCCCGCATGCTCGCTACCTGCCAGCAGGCGGCAGACCCCACAGTAGCGAGAATCCCGCTGGAGAAGGAGGAGGAGAGAGGAGGAGGCGAAGGACTTAGGAGGAGGAGGAGCAAGTGCAAGATAAGAGCAAAAAACTGTGCATGGCCCGACAAACTCAGAGGCTTCCGCCAGCAGCGCCCAGGCCCACTGCGCCGCGAGCTCGCCGCGAACTCGCTCAGCTGGCGCGCCCCTCGATCATCTTACCCTGGCGGCGAATGGCGCCCTGCTGTTCCAGCGAGAACAGCGCGGACCTCAGCTCCGCGTCGCTGGCCAGCTGCTCCTTGCGCTCCCCGAGCTTCTCGTTCAGGGCCACCTTCACCTGCTCCTGGCCGAGCTGCCGGTCGCCGGCCTCGCCGACGATGTCCTGCAGCAGCTGCTCCAATTCCTTGTTGCGCTTGCGGCGGGCGGCCCCCATGCCCACGATGAGCTGCTCCATGTCAATCAAGCCAGTCTCCGGGTCAACGGCCGCAGCGTAGGTGGCCGCCTTCAGCAGCCGGATGGCCTCCTCGACGTCTGCGGTCGTGACCGTTTCTCTGAGCTCCATCTTGGCCAAAGACTCCGAGGTGCGGATCAAGGTTTCCAGGATGCGCGGCGTGGCCGTGATCGCCTCACGGGAGGTGCCCTGGTTGCGCAGGTCGATGTAGCCCTTGATGAGCGCAGCCTCGGAATCGTCCGTCAGCTTGGGGAACACCCATCGCTTCGCAAAAGAAACGTAGCGGCGGAAGAGCTCGCTGTTGATGGTGGGATCGACCCGATTACGAGCGCCCGCCTCTGTGTACATGGAAATCAGATGCCCCGCCAACCTCCGGTCATTCTCCTTCTGGCGCTTGTCCAGCATGAGCCATATGAAGTCGAAGCGGGTCATCAGGTTCTTCGGCAGATTGATGTTCTCTACGATTGACATTTTTGGATCGTAGGCCGAGTCCTTCGGGTTCGCCGACGCAAGGATGGAGCTGCGGGCGTTCAACGAGCAGACGATGCCAGCTTTCGCCACGCTGACCGTCTGCTGCTCCATCGCCTCGTGCAAGATGGCGCGTGCGCTCTCGTCCATCTTGTCGAACTCGTCGATGCAGCAGACGCCCCGGTCCGCCAGCACCAGGGCTCCGCTCTCCAGGACCAGCTCGCCGGTCGCTGGGTCCTTGTTGATGGAGGCGGTAAGGCCCACAGCGCTGCTTCCCTTGCCCGAAGTGTACACGCCGCGAGGTGCGAGCTTGTAGGCGTACTGCAGCAGCTGAGACTTGGCGGTGGAGGGGTCGCCGCACAGCAGCGTGTTGATCTCTGGGCGGCACCTTCCCTTGGTGGTGGTGTTGAGGAGCTTCGGGGTGCCCCCGAACAGCTGGCAGAGCAGGCCCTTCTTGACCTCGTCCTCCTCGAAGATCGAGGGCGCGAAGGACTGGACGAGCTTGCTCACCACGGTAAGCGCCCCGTCGGCGTCCCGCTCCTGCGCGAGCTCTCTGACCTTCAGATTCCACGTGATGTCCTCCTCCTTGTTGAGGTCGGGGTCGAGGTCCTTCTTGTCTGCCAGGCTCGGCGCCCCCTCCTTGAGCAGCGAGTCGATGTCCTCCACGGGCTGATCGATGCGGCCCGCAGCCTCGGAGGTGATGGAGATGGCGTCGACGTAGGTGCGGTAGACCGAGAAGCACTGCTGCCAGTTCGCCATGGGCTTCACCGTAGTGGCGCGGAAGATGCCGGTCACCTCCACGCGGTCGCCGGGACGGACCTGGTCCACGAGCCACTCGTGGCACGTCACGGCCACGTTCTGCGGAGTCTCGCCCTCAGGCACGAGCTCAGGCGTCTCCTGCAGCTTCAGGACCTGCTTGTCCAGGAACGTGCACTCGTTGTGGACTATCTGGAACGTGCGGTTTCCGTTGCAGCGCTGGCACCGGGTGGGCTCCTCAATGGTCCAGTGGCTCAGGCCAACCGCCTCCTCGTTCTTGCAGTTCTCGTCCTGGCAGCGGAAGACCGCGGACCGCATGTCTGGCACCAGATCGGAGCAGCGAATCACGATGCCCCTGATGGTGATGAGCTTCTCGATGTCTGATGGGTTCATGTTGCGCATGATCTTGCAATCCCTGTCCAAGAGACTGTGCACCTGTACCTTGCAAACGCCGAGGGACTCAGGGTCCGCGCGAAGCTCGCGCACGGAGATGTTCCACAGCTCGCGATCGAAGATGGGGATGACCTCCGTGGGGAAGTTGACGAGGTGGCCGTAGAGCGTCGGGGAAAACTCGTGAACGTGACCGCCTTGCACCTCGAAGACGATCCCCTTCTCCATCATAGAGTCGGTCTTGGCGGCCTCCCACAGCTGGTCCAGCTGCTGCAGGTAGGTCGACCGGTCGCCCACTGTCTCCTGGGCGCGAAAGCTCCGTATGAACCTGTGGACCTCCACAAGGACACTGGTCTCCTTGATGTCGGTGCCGTAGAGGTACGTGCCCTCCTTCGGGAGGGGGGTGGAAGGGCCGGGGGGACGCAAATTAGCGAATCAGCTGCATGCAGCTGGTTGTCCGGGCGCTTGGAGGCGTCAGGAACGGCCATTTCTCGAGGAAGGCGCCTGGCGGCGGGGGCGAAATTAGCTGCGCGCAGCAGAGATCGTAACCTCCTCCGAAATCAAACGGCGACAGCAGGAAGAAGACAGAGCCGTGATAAAATCGATCGGTGATCTCTGAGTGCCGATGGATCTGGAGGATGATTTGGGCGCCAGGGCCGTCCCACAGAGACCCTTCGCTCTGGGACGATCCCCCTGGCTCCTCCGTCTCGAGGTCCGCGGCATTTTCGTCGAAGTCTGGGTCCGCGCCGCGCCCCGGCGCCCCTGCGGGCGTGGAGGCCATGAAGCCCCGCCCATGCCTGCGGCGCCCTGAGGACGACTGCGGCACGGGCGAGGCGGCGACGCCGCGCGACCGCCGCGTCCAGGGCGGAGACGACCCCGGCAGCGGGGACGCGCCCGGGCGGGCGGGAGCGGGGGTGCCTGGGGAGGGGCTCGGAACGTGTGCATACACCAGGTCACCATGAGTCGGCTGGAAAGCTCGGAGCACAGACCGGCCCCACGCTTCCCAAGCTGTGGGGCGCCAGAGCGTCCGCGCACCGAGCTCCCTCGCCAAACTCCCTGGCCCCTCGGCCGACCAGACGACGCGGTGTACATAGAGCCCCTCTGAGTGCCGACGGCGGGCGACGGCGCCGCGGGCGAGCCGGCGAGGGGCGAGCCAGCAGCGGGCGACGCCGCGGCCGACGGCGGGTTGCGGCGGCGGGCGCCGACGGGCGTCGCTGGAGCGGATCCGCGCGGCGTGCCGCCACTTGGGGGTCCTGGCGGGAGGAGGACGGCGACGGCGACGACGACGCCAGCGACGAGGAGGAAGACGGAGGGAGGAGGAGAGAGGGAGGCAGGAGCACGGGAGGGGGAGGGAGTTTCCTCTTCATGCACTCTGACGCCTTCCTTCGCTGTCTGGGCGTGGCTGCTGCTAACTCTCCGCGCCGCCCTCCGCGCCTGAGACACAACGGGCACCAGCTCTCCAGCTCTGTGTGTGTCTGTCTGTCTCTGTGTCGCTGTGTCTCTGTGTCTGTGTTTCTGTGTCTCTGTGTCTCTGTGTCTCCGTGTCTCTGTGTCTCGGTGTCTCTGTGTCTCTGTCTCTGTGTCGCTGTGTCGTTATGTCTCTGTGTCTCTGTGTCTCCGTGTCTCGGTGTATCTGTGTCTCTGTGTCTCTGTGTCTCTGTGTCTCTGTGTCGCTGTATTTCTGTGTCTCTGTGTCTCTGTGTCCCTGTGTCTCGTTGGCTCTGTGTCTCAGTGTCTCTGTGTCTCTGTGTCTCGTTGGCTCTGTGTCTCTGCGTCGCTGTGTCTGTGTGCCTCTGTGTCTTTGTGTCTCTGTGTCTTTGCGTCTCCGGGTCTCTGTGTCTCTGTGTCTCCGTGTCTCCGTGTCTATGTGTCTTTGTGTGTCTGTGTGTCTGTATTTCTGTGCGTCTGTGCGTCTGTGCGTCTGTGCGTCTGTGCGTCTGTGTCTCTGTGTGTCTGTGTGTCTGTGTGTCTGGGTGTCTGTGTGTCTGTGGCTGTGAATATTTGTGTCTGTGTGTCTGTGTGTCTGTGTGTCTGTGTGTCTGTGTGTCTGTGTGTCTGCGTGTTTGTGTCTGTGTGTCTGTGTGTCTGTGTATATGTGTGTCTATGTGTCTGTGTGTCTGTGCGTCTGCCTGTGTGTATGTGTGTCCGTGTCTGCGTATCTGATTGAAGGCTACTCCGCCCTAAATGTGGCGTTTCCCCGTCCCTCTCTCTGTGCGCCACTACATGTCCTCGCTGGAGCTCCCCCTTTTTGCGTAGCCGCGGCGTCGACGCTCGCCACTCTTTGCTGCTTCCCCCATTCCACGCGGTGACCGTTGGTGCTGCAGGCTTTCTTCTCGCGGCCCCCAATTGCCTCGTGGCTTGTCCCACAGAACTGTTGGCGGGACTTACCGCTATTGTCTCTCGTCGCATTAGGCGTGAGGACCTTGGTGCACAGCTAGCCCGTACCCGGGGGCTGTCTTCCTGGTACTCGGCCGTGTCTTGCCCTCCTTGCACCACCCACGTTTTTGTCCTATTTCTGGATCCTTGCGCTCCATGCACGCGTTGTGGCGCCTTTCTCCGTCGATTTATTGGACCTGGCGGCGGCTTTGCCGCCTTGCTGCCTGCTCCCCAGTACGGGGCATGGGCCGGCTCGGCCGCGGTCCACTTCTCTTGTTGTCGCGCTCCCCGGGCCTCTTCTTGGGATATCTCTCCACGCCCTTTTCTGCGCCATCCTACCCTCTGTTGTTCAGTAGCTGTACTGCCATACCGCCTTAGGCGGTGGCCTTTTGGTCGCCTGGCCTGTCGTCTCTCCGGGGTGTCTCGGGGGCGCGGCCTGGCGATGCCTTGCACCTCTCGTGGTCGCCAGGGCACTGGCGCTCTTGCGTTCCCAGGGATGCGCGTGGCAATTTCCACGGGCACCGCTCGTGGTCGGCGCATTTTTCTGCTGGCAGATTGTCCAGCGGTGGCCTCACCGCCTTGCTGCTTGCGCCTTGGATTTGGTGTTTGCCGGCAACGTTGCGGCCTTTTTAAAATTTGCGCATCTGCATTGCATCTGGGGTGTGAATCGCACCTGGGGCTGCAAGTCGCAATTCGCTGGTGTCAGCTGTATGTCAGCCCGATCGCCGGCTCCTTCGTTGGCATAGCCCTGTGGCGTGTGGTCGAAGTGCTGCGACTTTGAGGTGACGCGTGCAGGTAATATACTGGTTAGGGCTTTTTCGTCGTTGCGGCTCCACCCACCCATGGTTGCAGAACCGTTGGCTGCGGTGGAACGGTCTTCACGGTGGTTTCCGCGTCGCACGTTGGCCACGCACGCGCCTGTCCACCACCCATGGATTTCCCTGCGCTGTCCACCACCCATGTGCGGCACCACGTGAAGCGGTTGCTGTCGCGATCGCCCGCATTCAGCTTTGTTTTTTGTCCTGGCCTGGCTTTGTGTGCCTCGCGTTACTTGCACTTTTACGGCGTTCTGTCGTGTCTGTTGCAATCCTGGCGGCGTCGCTTGTCGCGCTGGTGCGCGTTTCGCGTCGCCGCCCTGCTGGCTGGTCTGGCAGCCTTACAGTTCTTTGTCGCTCCACTGGCTAATTAGCACCAGACCACTGCTTGATTTTCAACTCCTGGCGTCGAACCACGCTCCGCGGGATGCTTGGCTGCTGCACTTTGTCTTTACAGTACCTGATTTTTCTCACCACCACCACCACCACCAAGATGCATGGCCGTGGTTGGATTATTTCAGCACGGCGCGTTCGATTGCGTAAGTTCATTCGCACCTGGCACCTCCATTTGCCGACCGCGCCAGAAGTTCCTCTGCGCCACCGACTTAAAAGACTGTATGTTTGTGTGTGTGTGTCTGTGTGTGTCCGTGTGTGAGTGTCTGTGTGTGTCTGTGTGTGTCTGTGTGTGTCTGTGGGTGTGTCTGTGTGCGTCTGTGTGTGTGTCTGTGTGTGTCTGTGCCTGTGCCTGTGTCTATGCCTGTGTCTGTGTCTGTGTCTGTGTCTATGCCTGTGTCTGTGTCTGTGTCTGTGTCTGTGCCTGTGTCTGTGTCCGTGTTTGTGTTGTCTATTATATGTTGTGTGTGATTTTGTTGTGTGTTGTGTGTTGTGTGCTGTGTGTTGTGGGTGTGCGCATGTGTGTGTGTGTGCTTGCACGGGCACGGTTGGGCGACACCAAAAACCCTGGATACAGAAATGTTGACGTGTCATTCTTGCTTCCGACGCCTTCCACGGGCCTATCACCGGGCTTCCGCTCGAGGGCAAACCGCCGTTTTTACTGCCGCAAGCTTCCGCAGGCCTTCCGCCAACCTCCGCCAAAGGCGAGGACGCGCCGAAGGCGAGGCCCTTTCTGGAACGCCACGCTTCGCAGGCTCGCGCCCTGGCGTTGCGGGACGGCGCGGATTATGTCCGCCCTGCGCGTTGCACGCGGCATGCGCATGCGCAGGCAAAGGAGAAGGAAGGCTCCCTGCGTCGGCGAGCCGCCGCCAGAGCCCGGTGTGCGAGCGAACAGCGGCGAGGCGGAGGCGGCCGAGGCAGCTGGGGAGCCACCCGGCGGCGCGGCGGCGCCGCCGCTAGCCCGGCGGCCCCGGCGAGGCGGCGTCCCGACGGGCTGGTCCTGTGGGTGCTGTCCAGCGCGGCACGTCGCCGTCGCGCGGGGGCCAAAACGCAAAGACGCTGTCCCGGCTCACATTTCATGCGCGTGCCCCTGCGCTGCCGCGACCTCGGGCGTGACCTGACCTGACCTGGCCTAGCCTCCTTCTTCCTCGCACACCTCATCATCATCATCGTGACCATTCCCAGGTCATAACCAGCATCCTCGTCAGCATCATCAGCAACCACACCATCGACATATCCATATCATCACCACAACTGTCATGATTACCACCATCATCCTCCTTCCTCCCCCCTCCCCTCTCCTCCCTCCCGATCCCTTCGCGCCCCTCCATATTCCCTCCTGCCCCTGTTTTTCCTCCCTCCTCGTTTTCCTCCTCCTCCTCCTCCTCCTCCGCCTCCTCCGCCTCCTCCACCTCCTCAAACTCCTCCTCCAACTCCTCCTCCGCCTCCTCCTCATCCTCCTCCTCCTGCTCCTCCTCCTCGCATTATCATTACTACGCCTATTACTACGTTAGTATCATTAATGCTATTATTAGTCGTGCTATTGTCAGTTGCATTAGTGGTCTTGATATTAGTGCGAGTAGTAGTACTATCAGAAGTAGCATTAGTACTAGTAGTAGTAGTAGTAGTAGTAGTAGTAGTAGTAGTAGTAGTAGTAGTAGTAGTAGTAGTAGTAGTAGTAGTAGTAGTAGTAGTAGTAGTAGTAGTAGTAGTAGTAGTAGTAGTAGTAGTAGTAGTAGTAGTAGTAGTAGTAGTAGTAGTAGTAGTAGTAGTAGTAGAAGTAGTAGTAGTAGTAGTGGTGGTGGTAGTAGTAGCAGCAGTAGTAGTAGTAGTAGCTCGCCCCCCCTGGTATCATACCATTTGCCTTGTCTTCGATACTTCCCACTTCTGTCTTTGTCAGCCCTCCCCCTCGTATGCTGCCCACTCTCCGTCCGCATCGGCGTCGTTCCTTCCCGCTGCATTTCTTTCTATGATTCGTTCCTTCTTCTTTTGATTATGTTCGTTATGCTGCCGATCCTCCCTCCTCCCTCACCCCTCGTCCCTCCTCCTTCCTCCCACCCTTCTCCGTTGCGGGGCCTCGTCATCTTCTTCCCCTTCGCAAGCTTCATTACCGCCCTCGTTCCTTCTACTCATTATTGTCCCTCCTACTCTTCATTATCATTGTCGTTCCTTCTACTCGTTTATCGCTGATCCGACTTCTCTGCATGTGTTCGTCGTTCCAAGGGCGTTCAATTATCGACTCCTTATGTGTAGGGGCCTCCACATATTGATTCCATGTGTGGAGGGACCTCCACATAATGATTCCATATGTGCAAGGGGCCTCCATAATGATATCTTGTGTGGAGGGGCCTCCCACTCGTTGAATCCTTATGTGGAAAGGGCCTGATTCCTCTTGTGGGGGATCCTCCACATATTGCTTCCTTATGTGGAAGGGATCTCCACATGTTGGTTCCGTCTGTGGAGGGACCTCCACATGTTGATTCCTTATGAGCAAGGATCTCCATATTGATTCCTTATGTGGAAGGGGCCTTCACATAATGATTCCTTATGTGAAAGGGCCTGCACATATGGATTCCTTATGTGGATGGGCCTTTTAATATCGATTCCTTATGTGGAGGGGCCTCCACAGATTGATTCCGTCTGTGGAGGGACCTCCACATATTGATTCG